TCGCTTGCTTATTTTTTTTTCCGCGAACCCTACAGCTTCCCCGAGTGATCCGCATCCCCCCGTCCCACCCCACCCTCTCGTTATTTCCCAGTGTCTGAACTTTTCCCCTTTCCAGTAACAGTGGCCATGTGGCCATTCCAGCTGCGGACTCTTGACTAACATCCCTGGGGTTTATTTTTTCCCCCCCCTTTTTTTTTTTTCTTTTTTCCGCAGAAGTCGCTGGCTGAGATGCCTCCCCGAGTTCCAGAGATAAGATAAATAATTTACTGGATGGAGATCTCTGATTACTCACTCTATTAGCATTTAGAGCAAAGAGCTCCAGCCATCGGGAGCTGAATTATTCCAGACGAAGCCCATCTGGGCTCCTGCTCCCGAGCAAGACCGAGGAGTTCCCAGCATCCCACACATACTTGTGGGATGATTTGCTCGAAATCGAATGGGGTTTACTGGAAATGTTGGTGAGGTCCCGGCCACTGTAGTATTTTGAAAAAAGGGATAAAACACAACCAAGATGCACACCCTAAACTGGGGTGCAGAGCTGTGGCTCAGCCCTCACTCCAGCCAGGAAGGACTCACCACCACTACTGCCTCTTTTAGATTTACCCAGAACATAGCACATCCTCTTTTAGGGGCTGAGACAGCTAAAAACTGAAAAACCCACCTTGGGCTTTACACAGAAAGTGGCATTTTATTTAGGGAAAAGTGGAGAATCTGACACAGCAGCTCCATCCGTTTTTTTTTAAAAAATGCTTTTATTTTTTTAAATATTTTTTCCTGTATTGTTATTTGGGGTGATGCAAGCTGAGGGTGGAGGAGAGGGGCAGGCAGTGCCTTTCTCCTGCCTTATTCCCACCCGACACCTGGGCATATTTGGGACAACTGGTTCTGCCTGTCGGTGCTCAGCCCGTGGGATGAGGTGACTTAGCATCTGGCCCCAAACTCATTATCAAATTCTTTGCCAGGATGATGAAAGGCACCGAAGGGGCTGCCCTGGAAACCTGTTGACAAACAGAGCTCGCCCGGAGCAGCCGGGCTTTCCCGGGGGCTGCCTGTCCCTGACTCCTCGGGAGGCTCAGCCTTGTCCTCGCTCTGCCCAAACCTGCTCATTAGCATAGCAGGGAGCAGCGTGTCTTGCAGCCGGGATGATCTGGGGCCAAAGTCATCCTCGTGTATAAACCTGCCCAACTGCTCGTTTCCCCAGCGGGCTGAGTCAGTGTCCGACTCTTCCTGCAGGCACGGAGGGACAAGCCCCCTCTGGATTGGGAAAAACCCCGTCTCGGAGGTGATGGGAAGATATTGCTCCATGCCCTGGCCGTGTGGAGCAGGGAGGAGGCCACACTTCCCGGCCATATCCTTCTCTTTCCAGAATAACCCACTCAGGTGCATCCCTGTTCCTCAAATGACCCCAATCCAGGGCTAGGAATCACCTTTTCCCCCAAGCCCATCCCATGCACTCACCTTTCCCCTGCCAGCCCTCATGAGGCCATTGGGATGTGTCAGACATTCAAGCAAACATGAAACAAACCCCATCCTGCTTGCTACCCCACTCGGCCCTCTTCCCTAAGGATCTCCTCTTTTCCCAACCCTCTTCCTCTGGGATGACAGATGGCAGGTGCAGGAGAGCAGCCCACATCCACAAGCACAGCTTGCCCTAGCATGGACACAGGGATGTCCTGCAGGTCCTGCCCTGGCCAGGGCTGCCTCTTTCCACCCCTGGGGCAAACCCAGCTCTTGACATGAGCCCCCGGGGAGCAGTTTGAGGACAAAACCAACCGGGACTGTGCTTGGGGGCAAACAGGACCCTGGGGTGGCACATGGAGCCGGTGGCGGGTCTGGGGGAGAGGAGCTCCCAGCAGACATCAAAAGATCAGTTCTGAGCCCTGCAAACAATCCCGGCAGCTTTCAGGCTCTTCAGCGGCATTCCAGTCTAACCGGGGCTGCCTTGCATGATAATCAGGCTTAATTACTGCTTTATCGCTTGATTGCTGTGCTGGGCCCTTGAAGCTGCAGTGTTGCTTTCGCAGTTTACTTTTTGTATTTCCTCCCCCTCGCCTTCCCCGCCAGCACAATTAGCAAATAGGTGAAGATGGGGAGGGCCAGGGCAATACCCAGCGGGGAGAGAGGGGCGATTTGCCGCCCTGGAGCCCCCGGGGTGGAGGGTTTAAAATCCAGGTTTCCACTGCTGTCCTGAAACAAAACAGCGAGGTCAACGCCGAGCCGGGAGCACAGCCCCGTGTCAGCCCCACGAGCATCCCCCGGCGGAGGGGACCCGGCCGGAGGAGGGAGGGAGGATGCGGGGCCATTAACGCCGTGACACAGGAGGGCTGTGGTTTTCCACCGCGAGCTTTGAGTCACTGCGTGACCTTGGCTGAGTCCGCCCGTGGCTCCCTGGGCTCGGCCTCGGTCGCCCGCGGAACCGGCTGGCCCAGGGCGTGGGGCGAAGCGGGGAAAAGCCGGGAAAGCCTGAAACCGTCCTCACCTCTCCCTGATGCTCAGGCAGGCACCCGGCCCGCTCCACCTCCCCCTGCTTCCTACCAGAGCCTGGAAAAAGGGGTTTGAGTCATCCCAGCAATGCCCCACTCTCCCGTGAAGAGAGGGCTAAGCCCTTTGCCCACCCAGGGCATGTCCTAGCCTGGCAGCGAGAACCTGGAGGAGGGAGGGGTGAGGACAGTCGGGAAGCAAGGATGCTCCCACCTACACACGGTGAGCAATCCCTGGCTGCCCCGGCCAGGAGGTGGGAGCTGTCCTCAGCCAGGCAGTGGGTGCC